ATATCATATGTATCAAAATACTAATACTGTCCATAGTAGACTATTAGTACCACCTTTTCAAACAAGTGGATATATCCTCCTCTCAATTATCACCTGAAGCGTGATGGCCATGGGATTTCTCAGTAATTCTACAACAGTAACACACACACAGGTTTTCTATTCTTACTTGCAGAGTGACAGCTCTGTCCTCCACAGGTTTTATGGAGATACAAGGGAAAGGAGCCAGCCACGTTAGGACCCAATACTCGGCTGCTTGATTGGATTCCCCAGAATGACCTTCTTGGTAAGATCCTGAGAGGAGAAGAGCTGTGCAGTTGGAAAACAGATAATTTCCATTACTTTCTCAGAGCAAATGCCTTAAAAATGTTTAACTACTTGAACATTTCACCTCTGATATCCAGTTTTAAAAGAGAAGTAATTGTCCATTAATTTTATTGATACATTCTTTCTTTGGTTCACACAAGAGCATCCTTTGTTTGGAAGCTCATCAGCCTGTGAGCTTTAATCATATCTCATCACTGTTAGTCGGGCCTCCCTCACAGAGAGAAAAGGAGTTAAGTCCTGCTCCTGCCGGGATCACACTTTCCCAGGGTAACAGGGTACTCAGCTTTTGTACAAAATATCACCCTCTTTGTGGAGTTATGGAGTTCCTTTCCTCTTTTCTGTCTCTCAAATTCTTCTATCATGTTATGTGTTTATCCATTTTCCAATGTACATCTATCCCTAATCCAGGCCACCCCAAAACCAAAGCTTTCATCACTCATGGTGGAACCAATGGGATCTATGAAGCTATTTATCATGGGGTCCCCATGGTGGGAGTCCCCCTATTTGGAGATCAGTATGACAATGTCGCTCACATGAAGGCCAAAGGAGCAGCCGTGGAGGTCAACATGTACACAATGACAAGTGCAGACCTGCTGGGTGCCTTGAGAGCAGTCATCAACGACCCTTCGTAAGTACTGCTGCGTGTGACGGCTGACTTCCGTTGACTATGCTTTGCATCCTACAGGAAAATTTGGATCGTTGCAAACCTTCTAACTGGGTTACTTAAAACAGTGGTGCAGTAAGACTGCTATAGAAGCATGTATTTAACTACAATTTCTGACATGCTATTATGGTTTGAGAGACCAAATACAAAACCAGATAAAAATAGTCCTCAAATACTACTTTAATTACATGCAATTATATGCAATTTATTAAACAATCTGTTTAATAATGTAAAAAATATTTCTGTCATAAAAAATCACTCTAAAATAACTATTAATAACTAAAATAACTACTAATGTTCATCATTCTAAAATAACTATTAATCCTCATTTTTCAGCCGTCTTATTCAGTACTCTATTAAAATAATAGCCATTTCTTAAAAATTGTTACATAGCTCATAATAATACAGAAATCATTACAGGGGACTCTAATTGGGAGATTCAGTAATTCTTAGTATGGTATTTGGTTTTCAGAAATTAATCTTGATTGTGAAATGATTGTATTAATTACCATGATTCTTTTGCTAGATGTGCAAGTAGATAAATTCCATGATTCTTTTAACTCATGCATTAAATATTCTTTAATTTATATTATTGATTTTAAAACCACTGATGAGGCAAAACAAGTGTAAGTACATAAGATTTCTAAGTAAACACTAAAAATTGTTTGAAAAAGCTTTCTATTGACTGTAGACATTATACTGCCTCTAAAGTAATTTGGGAATATAAAGTTACAGTGCAAGGTATATATGGATGCGTATATGTTATTTTAAAGGCATAGCTTGGTTTTATTTGTATTTACATGCTTTGAAATATTTGTCAAATATACATATACTTCAAATTTAAATAGAGAAATGATTATAAATAATGTATATGTATATAGGGAAAATCTTGAACCAAACTCTAATTTTGTGGAAAAAGGCTTCCATTGCCAAATTAGATTGCCTGACATGCATAAGGATAATGAAGTGATATTATTGTTGGAATTTACCTATGCTTCAGTACAGTTGAGAAATAGGACAGCTATGTTTCTCACTATGCCCAAGGAAAAGTATAATGAAATATTCTCTGGCTGTAGATCTATTGCTCCACACACATTTGCAAACTCAGACCTTCTTTCCTTCTCTCATTCCTCACAATGTACAGCCAACACCAGGACAGCTCTTCCCGAACCACTTACCTTCTCTTATCTCAGTGAATCCTGTAGACATTTTAATTCAAGTTACAAACAAAAGTCAAACTTGTTAAATTACTGAAATTATCAGGAAATATGAAGTGTAAATATATCTTGTTGTTAATCCCATTAACTTCTCCCCAGTGTTGTTTGAGAAATAGAGACCTGAACTCTATCATTATTGCTGCAACATTTTCTAATTGTTAAGGAGTGTAAATTTGGAAAGATTTTTTACTTCCTTTTATCAACTGAAAGTGAATGTATTTGGATATTTTTTTTTGTAAGTTATCTTAGCATTTTCATTCAGTGATTATCTGGCTTAGAGATAAATGCTTTTTTATTATAAATATAAAAACATGCAAAGGCACAAGTAGAACAATAAAAAATGACTCATTCATATTTATTATCAGTTGGCTCTTTCTGTAAAGCAAACTAGTCAGATGTTAGTTGCATGATTTCTGTGGTTTTAATAAATTATTCCATAATTCTCAATCATTCTGAATTATTCACCATTGTGGTCTTACAACAATTCTGGATGCTAGAGTTCAAATGATAGCAAACTTTTCACAGGACAACTAAGCTACATATGCATAATACAACATTATTTATTTTCTTTTGTGTGTATTTGACACATCGTGTTAAGAATATATTTCTTCCACACATTCTCTTTTCAACCCTGAAAGTTCTAAGCACTTTTACAAAGCTACTGCACTAGTTAAAAGTTTTCAGAATCTGTGTTTGATCTTTGATCCTATAATAACAAATGTCTCATAGTTACATTAAGTTAAACAGTTGTTATTTTTTCTACATTTTTTCATGCAGTTATAAAGAGAATGCCATGAGGTTATCAAGAATTCACCATGAGCAGCCAATGAAGCCCTTGGACCGAGCAGTCTTCTGGATCGAGTTTGT